GGTCTTCCCAGTGGTCTCTTTCCTTCTGGCTTTCCCACCAATATCCTATACGCATTCCTCACCTCCCCCATTCGTGCTGCATGCCCTGCCCACCTCATCCTCCTTGACTTGATCATTCTAATTACACTTGGAGAAGAGTACAATTTATGAAGCTCCTCATTATGCAGCTTTCTCCAACCTTCTGTCACTTCATCTCTCTTCGGTCCAAATATTCTCCTCAACACTCTGCTCTCAAACACCCTCAGTCTATCTTCCTCCCTTAATGTTAGAGACCAAGTTTCACACCCATACAGAATGTCATCAATTTTATCTTCTATTGGGGCGTGAACTTTCTTAACATTACTGATGTTGATTCTGTCGTTGGGTTGTTACACTCTGTGGACTGCCATTTCGGAAGTCCATACTGCCTCCATTTTAGTGTCGAAGTGTGTAGATTGTCAAGTTTCTTGGTATAGATAGCATTTACTTTTGAGAAGAAAGGCATGGAGGGACATTGCCTCGTATAGGCAAGTAGGAACCAATCCCACTCTGTCTTTCCTAAAACTTTTCCTTTTCAAACAGAATGCTATATATGTACATAGACACACCAACCTCTACAATTCGAACCTGAGGATGAAAGCAACATGTACCCCCGAAACATCACCCACAGACACAGTGTAATAACCCAAGGACAGAATTAACGTCAACTATACTGTAGCCCCCGAAATGTTAAATGTTGACCTAAACTGAATGCTTTCAGGGATTAAAAATATGGACGATCCGGTAGGTAAGGCTTCTTCATCAGGAATTATTTTTGTGTCCTGTGAAAATATAAATTAAACGGGCCTTGAACATAAAGGAGTTGGTCACTTGATTCGTAGGCAGTTAGCTCTGAAAAATGAAACGATTTGTAGTCATTCAGCTTCTATATGTACTTGCAAGTGTGGCTGCTGTGTTAAAGACGATTGCTTTGGGAAAACGAAGAGGCCACATTTTGACGAGAACCGAGGACATGTCCTTTCGTGACCTTGAGCATTTTGCAAGGTACGTGTTCAGTGTTCTGTGACAGCTGCAGGCACCGTTGTGACCGTTGCAGTGGGAACATCCTGTCCGAATTGAAGATTCCCTAAGAGACGGCTTCCAGTTAGGTCAATTCTGCGGTTTTGTTGAATAGGCAGTCGTGTTCATCCGACGTTTCATGGTCCTCCAATTTTTGGGCAGCTCCTCGCTATAAAATATTTCTCATGTTATGAAATGTCTCAAGTGGTGGAGAGGATGAGTGCATATAGACTATTGCTTGGAAAGCCGGAAGGAAGGAGACCACTGGGAAGACCAAGACGTAGGTGGGTGGACAATATTAAAATGGATTTTAGAGAGACAGGATGGGATGTTATGGATTTGATTGATCTAGCTAAGGATAAGGACCAATGAAGGGCTCTTGTGAACACGGTAATGAACTTTTGGGTTTCATAAAATGCTGGGAACTTCTTGAGTAGCTGCAGAATTGGCAGCTTCTCAAAGAGGGCTCAGCTCAATGAGTGAGTGAAATGTCTCAAACAGCCTCGGGCATGGGTGGTGGGGAGTATTTAGCGTGGCTTAAGCAAGGGGAAGGTGACACGAGATTCTGGGAAAGAAGACAGATTAAAGAATTCAGAGAACAAAGTGCTGAAAAGAATATTTGGGCCTAAGAATGCAAAAGTAATAGGAGAAGAGCCATATTACATATGAAGAAATTCGCAATGTGTACCGACGACAAAATACGTATAATTAGGGTGATGAAATCAATAGCGATAAGACGGGTAACACATACAGCCCAGATGAAGGAGACAAGATATGCATACAAAATGTCAGTCCTTCAAGGGAAAAGGCTGTTGGGAGACCTAGGCGCAGACGGTAGATATAAAGTTGTCCTTGTGCCATGCGTCAAGTGGAGATAACCTTTAACCTAGACAATAGATGGAGATGATTTTTCAGCTTCACGCTCAGAATGGTTTGTCCCCGTTAAAGGAATGCGCAATGTGTTCTGAATACTGGGCTGGATATGTCCATGTGGCTTAGCAAGGGAGAGGGAAAGCTAGGCACCTACTCACTCTCCTGAATTTTGGAATAAGACCAAAATCGGAAAAGGAAGAACCGTACCAAATATTAATACCCAAAAATAAAATTACGTGTATTTAAATGTGGCGCAATTTGTGTTTCAACATAGAGACCCACAACTTCATGGTGAACCGTAGAAATGTACTTAAAGAAATTAAATATAATTTTGCAGGCAAATTTTTGGCTATCTCCTATTAGAAGAAAATCCCGTCCAGCCCCCACGCGGAGGCCCCAGAGCCATTAAGAGGGTATTAGCTAATAACATAAAAGTTCTTTTAATTCTGCCGGGACTCAAGCGTACATGAAAATAAATCTTCTTCTAGGATATGAGGTTCTCACAGAGATGGTTATGAAGAGTTCTCTCTTCTGGGATATAATGCCGAGTGGTCCGTTGAAAGTTAGCCGATGTTTCGGAGGAACATGTCGCCTCCATCCTCAGAGTCGAAAAATAAGCCAAGCAAGAACCCAACGTGAAACAAATAGGACAGTCCTATGACTTTCATTGGACTAAACTAAAAAAAAAAAACTCCGTGGATTTAGCCCGCAAGCGAACTATACAAGGCATTATGTATCAGAAATCAAAACTCCATGAACTTTCTTTTTCCATAAAAGGCGATGAATTTCTTGGCCATCTGAGCGATTCTCAGTATGGAGAAAAGTTCGTTATTTTTGCTGAAGACGCAAGGTTGTAAGAAGCCTGTTTCACATTAAGTGGTTTAATAATGTGATTGCAGGCAAGGTAAAGTTGCCCCCGGGAGACCTGTCATGCAGTAATTTGGCACTGAATAACCCCTGCAGTTGATGAAGAAGAATTCGCGATTCGAAAGGCCATGCTCTGATAAATGTGCAGATTGGAGATGAGGGTTATTTAATGAGTGTAACAAGTACGTATATATGGGTATATACAGGGTGTTTCGNCGCCGACCGCAACACAGGCTGCCGCTCGGTTGTGAACTGCGCCGGACATACCAGCCCACTCTGTCTTAGGTACCTCTCAAGTGTCGAGATAACGAGAACGCTCTGTCTGTAGCTGGCTAAAAATAGCGACCCGCCAGCTGACAGACGCGGTTCACACGACGACGTGTACGGGAATGAAAAAACGGTCGTAACTCCGTAACCGTCCAAAATCAGACAGATGTTTATATGAATTTTTTGATCACAAAGACCTAGGAAATCACCTCCTGCAGTTATGCCCTAAAGTCGTGAAACACTCTGTATTGTGACATCGAAAGTTTGAAGTGTGGGATTTCTGCTACTGATTTACAACATTGTGTCTGTAAAGAAACGCCTCTGTGTTCTAGTGGTCAGAGTTCCTTGCTACAGATCTAGAGGTCCCGGATTCGATTCCCGGTGCTACCAGATTTTCTGAGAAGTAACGGGGTCCACTCAGCCTCGTGAGGATAATTGAGGAGCTGCTTAAATGGAAAAGTAGCGGCTCCGGTCTAGAAAACTTAAATTAACGGCCGTGGGGATTCGTTGCGCTGGCCACGCGACACCGTCTGTCCACTGTTTGCACTAACTTCGCCGACAAGCGGCGGTTTCTCGGTCGGTATAGTTCGCATGCGGACTAAAGCCACGAAGTGTGTTTTGTTTGTTTGTCTGTAAAAGACTGATAAAAGACTGACATCGGGTCAAGCCACTCTTGTGTCCAAACCGGCTTTGAGATCAACCCAATCTCCTAACCAACAGAGGAGTCCTTTGCAAGATAGGGGCGGGGGCATATGAAGTTCAGCAGATGGGTTATCGAGGTTATGACTGCGTTAAACTTCAGCTTTTTGTCCATACACATCTTTACGGCGTGAGGTCAGAGGTACTTTAGCGATGTTATGGAACAGTAGCAACATTGTGTCGACTCGAATAGCTTAGTTGAATGTCTTAAGAGTTTTTTCCTCTTAAACCTCCCTTTATCATGTTTAACGTAGAAAACGGATAACATATTTTATTTATCTGTTTCTACTATCGATTTTTAGCCGTTGAAACTTAGAAAATTGTTCACTCGAATTCTCAAGAATTGGTAAGAGAATTTTCATTTATATTAACAAAATTAAGAGTTGTTCAGCGTAGAAGGAATGTTCTGTAAGATTTGAGGTTTTTACGGCTGTGACTAAGATGTCTGGTAAGTGGCCCCGTGTACATCTTGTGTAAACCGACGTTTCGGAGGAATGTGTCGCTTCCATCTTCAGGGTAGAACAACCTGCGAACGAAGAACCAGTCGAAAACATCTGGATGTTTTCGACTGGTGACTCACTCTGCAGCCACATGCTGACGCTGGTTCCTCGCTCTCGGATTTTTCTGCCTCAAAGATGGAGGCGATACGTCCCTCCGAAACGTCAGTTTACAGAAGATCTACACGGCGCCACATCACAGAAGACGGCATTCTTCAGAAAGGAACGTTGTTTAGCGGCCTCCGTAGTCTAGAGGTAACGTTCCCACCTCATGACTCGTGGTACGCGGGTTCAAATACGCGGCGGAGGTCGTCAAATTTTTAAGGGCGGGAAATTTCAGGGAACAAGTCCTCCGGGAGGGACTTTAAGCCGTGGGTCCCGTATCGTAGCTTTACGACACGTAAAAGAACCTCATATCTCCAAAGGAGATCACTGAGCCAAATTCAAGGACGTTTCCCGCCCAACAGCAGTCTCTAAGGCCTCTGATAGATGGAGGAAACATTATAGATACCGCCAAGCCAGTTGAGAACTCGCTGGCTTGGTCGGGACTGATGGTACGCACCATTATCAGTAGGGTATAGAGACTGGTAGAATATCACAGTGGGAAGCACAATGGACCAATACTGGTCTAAGTGCATGGGGAAACCCACCCTCTCCAATAACTAAGTAACTAACTAAGGAACGTTGTTTCATAAAGCGATATCTTATTCCTATCAATTATGTGGCTAAGTGAGAATGTTTATGCTGTTCTGTTGGCAGGACTGGTTCTCGAGACAGCAGCTGGTGATGCTAGTACTCTTCATCAACATCTCCCTGGCCATCATGTTCTTCAAGCTGCTCACGTAGTAACGACTGTTATTCTTTGCATTGGACTCAGCTGGCTAGGGCTAGTGAAAGTGGGGTTCCCACCCTCCTTTCCTCCCATTCACTCCACCGAACCAGCAAAATCACCTGATGATGTGGAGACCCAATAAAGATAAGTACCACATTGCCGCGCAGCGCATATTTTTACACGAGTTGAGGTAATTTTTTCACTTTTGTCCTTCTTCTTCTTCTCCTTCTCGAAATGAAGTATGAAGCAAGTAAACCAAATACGGACTTATGATATATTGCAAAGTTATATATAATATACCAATGTACCAATTTTCTATACAACCAAAACATGAGAGAATGTCGCTCCTTATTCGGCGGACAGCCCGCTCGCCAGGAAATGAATCGAAGGGATCAAACGAGACGGTAATTCTCCTGCGAGACGATAAAATCAGGAGATTCTTTTTTTTTTTTACTTCGCTTAGATTAAGGGAAGGTTTTGAATCGCTGGGAAAGCATATTATCTCATCCTACATCTTAAAATTGGCCACATGTTTTTATTCTTCCCTTTTATAGAAGCATGTGGAGTGAGAGAATTATTACATAGTTTGTTTATACACTTCAAGGGATACTACTTGTAAATATTCTTGTTCCACTCGCAGTGGCAACATATACGTAAGAAGTAACTTCTTTACGAGTTAGGTTTTTGAGATACTGAACTGTATAAAGCATATCAAACGAGTCTCTATTTCAGCGATCGTCTATTGTTATTATACTATCTATATTGGAGAGAGAAGCATTGCGTGCCTTTTTATTAAATTGTTTATCAAATCATGTAACATTTAGACTGTAGATAGGTCAACCTATTTTCAAAAGTAATAATAATAATAATGAAAACTCCATTTTTTCTACATGAACATCAGAACATCAAAATATTTTCTAGACATATAGTCTATTATTTACTCGTTGTGTACCGCCTAGTATATAAATTATTGTAATGAAGTCTTTCTCTGCTTTTGAAGCGGCTGGTTATTCTGTTTGCTTCGCATTTTACATTACCTGCGCAGAACACGCTACCAAAACAAAGGAAATAAAATTTGTAAAATTCTTCAATTTTCCATCTCTTGCCAAACGGCTCTTGTACAATATGGTAATAATAAAAAGAACTGTTAGTTCTATATGAAGTTACAGGTTTAGGTTAGGTTGGTAGGACTGTTGAAGAGAACCTGACAGGAAATATTTTAATTATCGTTCATTAATTGTTACTTATTCTCTGTTATCCCGTTTGCACTTACCAAGTTCCTTTCTCACGAATCTTGACCTTCGATCCTTGGTTTACTTTATTTTCTTTTTCAGTGGATATTATTTTTGTGTTTCTCCCAGATCGAGGCATCTTCCATTTATAATTTTGATTCCTTCTTCGGAGCGAAAAAGAAATCATGAACGCTACATCTGCACACCTTGTGTTTCAGAACTTAATAGTGCTACAGTGTCTTCAGTACTGAAGAAGATTAATTGATGTTAAAGTTTTGCTTTCCTTTTGTTAAAGCAAGAACATGTATTTGAAAGGAAACCTGATCCCACTGAATAAAAATTGTGTTCACTTCTCAGTGACTCGGGTCACATAACTTGCCGGACTGTTTTGTTCCCCCAAAGCCTTATCTTAGGCAAAGAGAAAGAAATGAAATTTCTGCCTTAGCTATTGTTACTACCTTCAGTGCTGTTTGCTTGTTAAGTTTGATTAGCACATACTTTTGTTCCGGGTGATTGAATTTGCAGTGCTCTGTGAACCGACAGATATAAATTTGTTCAATAAAATGTTCTTTTTTTTTCAAATGTGAGCTTATGGGACAATAATATTGAACTTTGAATTGTTTATGCGATTATTGTTTTTCTCTTCATATCTGCCATCTTATCTTGGTTACTTTTTAAGTCTGCATGACATTATTTTAAGTGCAATTTGTCCTGTTTGTAACATTACCCACATCATGTAAAGGATTCTGTTTAGAAAGAATCATATTGAAGGTTCTAGTTCTGGATACAATTTCTAATACCTATCTGTGGAGTGGCATGTACAGGGACTTCATATCCGGAGAAAAGGTTGGGTCTAACAGATGTATTACTGATTGCCTCACATATTAGGCAGATATTTATAATAAATAAACTCCTGCTCTTGGATGCCAACGAATTTCATATATGACGTCGTTGGAGCAGATGTTGCTATCGAAAATTTATATTATAGTGTTGCAAATTCAGTTCACATTTAAGCAGGATTTTGCATCCATTAATTACTCAGCAGTATGCATACAATTTTGTGGATGAGGAAACGGTATGCATAATTGCATAAATGCTATGATCATGCCCTATTATTATTATTATTATTATTATTATTATTACTGTAAGAGTTACCATATAATTTTAGCTTAATTATTATTATTATTATTATTATTATTATTATTATTANATTATATTACTTTAATATATATATATATATATATTTACGAATTGGAGAATACGGTTCAGGGCTGATCATTACTGGTACCCAATACGTATTTCTAATCTATATATATATTTTATATAATTATAAATTGATATATTTTATTATCTGATTTGGCAAGGTTTGCATGCGTCATAGAAATGATACAAGAATTTTATAGCTGCATTTAGATGAAGGTAGGAGTATGGTCATGAGACAAGGAATTCATAGGGCGACAAATAAATGTGGCTTGTAATGCAATCGATTCCTTTTACTTTTAAGATTTTTTTCTATGAAAATTACACCTTCCAATGCGTTGAAGGATCTGAGTGCTGTTTCGTTGCTTTACTCGGATTGTGTTGACACTGGCAGTATGCAGACTATAGAGACTCGGTGGTGGGAGCAGTTGGTGAAGTGAGAATTTGAAGTGGAACCGAAATACTCGGAGAAGTGTCCTATTGCCACTTCATCACCAGAAATCCCACCTGGGATGGAACCCGGGCCGTCACCGTGGAAAGCCGGCGAACCGCCTGAGCTATAGCACATCCGACTCAGAGAGTGTCACTTGTGGTCACATGAAAATCATCGCAGGTTATTGCTGTCAATATACGTTGGTAAGTCAATAAGTAAGTTACAAATGGATATAGAACCTAAACAATTAAGAGTACTAACTTGAAAAATGCTTTTATTTCTCAACATAATCTCCCTGTAAAATGAGGCACTTGTCCCATCGTTTCACAAGCCCCTGAAAACTAGCAGCATAAAATTCTTTGCGCTGCTGTCGGAACCAGGCGGTGACTTCCCTTACTACAGCTTCATCGTCGGGAAAATGTTCAGCCGAAAGATGATGTTTAAGAGGGCCGAATAAATGGAAGTCGGTTGGAGCAAGGTCGGGGCTATACGAAGGATGCTCGAGGACTTCCCACTTGGAATTTCGCAGCGTCTCATTCGTCTTGTTGGCAGTATGGGGACGCGCGTTGTCATGCAAGAGCAACACGCCTGGTTCCGTCAGCAGCCCAAAGAATTTTATGCTGCTGGTTTCAGGGGTTTGTGAAACGATGGGACAAGTGCCTCAATGTACAGGGGGATTATGTTGAGAAATAGAAAGACTTTTCAAATCAGTACTCTTATTTGTTTAAGTTCTGTATCCATTTGTAACTTACTTATTGACTTACCCTCCTAGCTTAGGAAGCCAAATAGTTGCACGGTCTTCATGGTTTTCAAATAATTGATATCAGCTCATTATATTTCATTCTAGGGTCAACAGTTCTATAATCCGTTTCAGTTACCTATAAGAGATGTGCTCATATTCGGTGACGGGCAAAATTCTACTGCTCAAGATTTTAAAATATTTTGTAGTAATTCTGACGAATCTGTTCGCCGTAAGAGTGAAAAGACATATTTAATAGTTATGGTGCTATTAACAATGGAAAATAGAGAATTTATATCAATTTTTCTAGGACGTGGTTTTTCGATGCACTGGAAGAAGAAAATAAGGAAATTGTACTGAGTTTTTTCATTAAAATATTTGATATTTTAAGAAGAAATTCAAACGGACAACACATTTTCAGAACTTCGAAAAATTGTGTCTTATATGAATGCTTATGGCCGTCGTCAAAAGTGAAAGGCTTAGGTTCTAGTGATGTAACTCTAACAAAATTTCACACAGCGTCTACTTTCTTCAGCAGGAGTTCAGTATGTAATACCTTTCCCAACAACATGGCAAATTTACAGTGAATGTACTATGCGAATCTACAGGCATCTAATATTAAATACAAATACGTAACAGAACATTTATTTTGATCAATACAAAATGTGTAAAAGATATCTTCTGTTCGTTCCGAAATTACGAACACCGATGTTTAGAAACAGACACGGCTGTGTTTATTAAAATACCGTCGGATAAATGTCATCCGACTTTTGACATCATTTTTTGTGGATCCCTGGTAACTTCCTAAACCTAAAGCCTGCAGACAAATAGAACAGAACGTACGTGCCAGATACATTGACATAATACACGTATGTAAAACACTATGTATAATACAAATTTTAGTGATAGTTTTATGCTCGAGTCCAAAATTCCATTCTGGATATAAACATTGTAATGCTGATTGAAATCATAAATTTAAAGTAAGTTTTTAACTTTAGAGACAATTCGATATGAGCGGTAAAATAAATTATATTTCTTTTTCGACATTTCTGTTGGAGTTTCACCCCATTAATTCTATAACTTGTATTACGACGTCGTTTTTCTGTTATTTTTTATGGCAGATGTTTCACACGCATAGTATTTATTAAAAATCGACGTTTAAATCTATCAGCGGCTCTATTTCTGAGCGACAGATTTCGTACAAGTAGCTGGTATAAGACAAATAACTTGTCTGGAACTGGGTTCGGAAGGACGCTGAAAGCGACATATTTTGTTCCAGACATCGTGATGATACGGAAACCTTTCATTCTGAACGTCTGTTGCATATCGCACTACCATTGTGCCATTGCTACAAGAACGCTGTAACAGGCTCAAACTGATATGGGAAGACCTTTCACGCCCCCTCCAGAACATGTTAGAATTACGTGTCTTCATTGGTAAGAGGGATATATCACAAGTTTCTACGGACTGAGAATTACTGGGTTTTTGGCCTTTGTTCATTGTCTGGTATTCTAGAAACTAGAGAACACAAGGTTTCGGAAACTGGGTCTGTTTCCGTCCTCAGGTGAGGGGGGCGGGAGACACCTACTGAGTTGGGTCCTTTAGAAAGAGCTAACCTCAATCACAGGTGTCTCCCCACCCCTCACTTACCTGAGGACGGAAATAGATCCCGTTTCCGAAAAGCCGTGTTTTCTAGTTTCTAAAATACCGGACGCTGGACAAAGTCCAGAAACCCAGGAATTGTGTGTGTTATACCCCATCGTCAGAAGCCTTTAGAATCCACTCCTGCGCACTGATGTCGAGTGGAAAAGTGGTTAACAAAGACGTAAGCTGTTGGTGTTGGACATTAAAAAGCAGGGAACCCGATATCAATTAATTAACCTCTACTGTCATCCATTAACAGTTCGAGATATTGAATAGTACCAGCTTATTGTAGTCCGGTAGAAGTCCACCGATGTTTCGGAGAGACACAGTATTACCATCTTCAGGGTCGAAGTGTAAACCAAGCAATAAACCACCATGAAATTCTGCTTGCCACCTGCTTCTTGATGGTGTCTTGCTTGCCTTACTTTACAGCTCTGAAGATGGCGGCAGTATGCCCTCCGAAAAGCCAGTGGGATTCTAGTATGCTACACGGCATTACAGTTTAGAAGGCAGTAAGTACTGTTCGTAGGAACCGCTGTGAAAATCTCAAATCCAATTAAAGATATTCGTCGTAATTACACCGTTGCATCTAAACAATTCCTTTCTCTGTCAGAGCCTTGGCAGGGGACGGATTCTTTAGTTCAGTAACATCACAAAAAGACCCAAATTCGGGAAACCCGTACGCCATCTGGCAACGTGTTGAGACCGTCTTACCCTTTCGTATTACTTTTTTCTGTAGTGTCTTTAGGATAAAGTACTAAGGCATAACGCTATGTGTATGTGTGTGTGTATGTGTGTGTGTGTGTGCAATAGTGGTGGCGTTATCCTAATCTTATTCAGTCTTCGTACCTGACAACAAAATTTCCCTCTTCGCTGAAGAGAGCACGATTTTCCTGCATGCGTGACCCTTGTTCGTTTTATAGGAAGGTGTGGGTAATGTTGCAGTACAGTTAAGGACACAATAAAGCAGAACTCCAACAAAAGAATCCTTTATTACGTCAACTGTACCAAACGCCAGAAATTTGTGTTTTGTTAAAGAAAAACAGACCATAGTTCCAATACGTGATTACGATAATCTACTCTTTTGTGATTGTGTTTTTGACTCTACATGAATATTGCTTGGATGATGGAGGAGACATTTTGGTTAGTTGGTTACCAGTTTATACGAGTGTAAATGTAGAAATGAGATCTGTACAAGTGACTAACCTATTGTTGCTAAGTGATAAGGAGCAGGCATGTCCAACCCATGGTGAATTACTAAGGTTGGGCATTTCCTGATCTCTGATGGAATTGTGTATATTTTAAAATGATATAAGATGCACAAATGTAAAGAGTAAATACGGGGAAACGGTTTACTACCTTTTGGTAAATTTTTTGAGTGTGAAGAATGATATGAAAATATAGGACATTTGTAATATATTTTGTCGCAATTCTTTGTAGGCTGTTGTTCGGCCAATATTTATATAGTACTGTGATCCAGAAAGGGTTGGAAGAGTAATCGAATGATTCGCCAAAAGAACGTTGCAAACCACAAATTCATAAATAATATTAAAACACTTTGACAGCCTTAAAATTTGTTAGTGCCCTTCCCAAAATTCGTAACAGTTCTTGAGTCTCTGATTGTGTTATCAGTCCTATGTTTTGAAACAGCCGGCATTACAAGACAAACAGGGTTTTTTTTGATACGTATAATTTAATTACCCCCTCAGATAAAACAGGTTGAGTTACCTAGGTAGGTTCTGATCTAGTTGATGTTGGTTTTCTTTTGTGGCACAAACATAAAATGTACATATTTTCAACATCTTCTAATCCTTATATGGACACAAATGTCTCTCATATGAAAATCAGTGTATCGTATATTACATATCCTGTAGCATTATCCTTTTCAAGAAGAGGGCTAAGTGACCGATTACAGAGTGGAATTCAGGGGTTTGGCTCTCTGCAGAGGCTTTTAGGTGGTTTTTCTTCGCCGTAACTCTCAGAACTGTTGTGGACATTTCAGCAAGTAGAAGACATCTTTATCTCGAAGGACAGGTGACCGGAGAATGAAACCGATCATTTACATTCACGTGGAGCTTCACCTCCTCTC